TTTAATGTCGCTGCCTTTCTATATCTGACCTTTCCTCTTTCCACTGAAAAGAGATCAATTGGAAGCGACCGTGCAGAATGGCAACTATTTTTAACCATCTGCGTGGGTCAGACGAAAAAAAGCGGAGATGAAAAAAGTCTCGAGCCAATGCAGTGACGTAAATTACGCGATTTCCACACTGAAAAAATTAAATTAAAAATAGGTTACCAATATTATAATTTATTAATAAATAGGCAACACTTTTCATCAGAATCTAATGACTTTTAAATACACAATTTAATAGAATTTACTGGATTTTACTGGAAGTTGTGTTTAAAAAATCATTAAATGGATACAAATTTTCCAATTTTTTTTCTCTTAATGTGGGCTGTTTGGTGGCTTGCCAATGGGCGACAGGATATCGCGATTCTAGCTGATGTCATCAGCCAGACGACAAGGACCAGTGGCTTCTGTTGCTCTGACGTTTTCGTCCTGGTTGCCTAAAGCCAAATTGAATAAATAGAAAATGTTTTTTTGTTGTTTGCCATCGCTCTAATGAAATTCTAACACGCGCCACACTTCAAGTAGGCGATGAATGTCTATCCCAGTGTGTGTGTGCCTTCTGTGTGTTTGTTGTGTGTGTGCTGTGTGTATTTTTTGTGTCTGGATATTGGTGAGCAGCTGGTCATAATGAGCCACTTGAGTGGCGCACACGCATGCAAAAAGCATTCGAGGCTAAAGTCGTTCTGTGGCCGTTCGGTGGTTCCAGCCAACATCATCATCTGACCTTCGACTAGAGACAATGCCACGGCTCGGGGAGAAACGGACGGCTGTGGCAAGGCCAGGATTCTGTTGTGTGTGTATGGGTGTGTGAATTGGTGGGTGTGGATGGGAAAGGGGAAGGGGGGACGATTGGCATGAGCTCAACTTCCTGTTGCTGGACCTTTTCGGCACAGGGGAAACAAAAAGCTAATAAATTAGTTACGCTCTGAAAAAAAGATTTATAAACCATTAAGCTTCGGATTTGTGATTTCGGCTTTGTGGAAGTATTTCACTCAATTCACCTTTACATTTTCTCTGAGTGTACTCGATAACCTCGAGCATTATGGTCCCACATGCTATGAAATTTCATTTCCGCTCCTCGTTTGCTGCATTGCCATTGCCAAAACGTGTCTGCAACTCGATGTGTTGGCGGTCAGGTTTGAGTGGAAAACGCGTAGAGAGAGCATAACATTTTGCTGCAGCTACAGTTGATAATCATTTAACACTTTCCTTAAATTTTTCGCTCTAGATAAAAACCAAACGCAGTCGCCCAATGCATACAAATGAGCGGAGGAGCACGGGAGAGTCACGTAGCCAAAACAGGAGATCCGAAATAACCCCATCCCATGGAAAGGCGGAGAAAGGTGGCTCTAATTAAGACAGGCCTGGTCTGGTTTGGCCTGGTCTTGGCCAAAATTAATGGAACCCACGAGCGGCGGAGCGTTCTCGGTGTTCACACAAATTAAATTCCATCAAGTTTATTTGCTGTAAATGAGGCAGTGGAAGCCAGAAGGAGTGGAAGTGCTGGCCCTAATTTAATTTACCCACCCTCAACCCTTTTGTTGTGCACCACAGCCCGTGTTGCCATTTACCATTTGGAAGCGAAAGTATAGACCTTAGACACACCTACACTTCTACACACAGATGCTAAATCCGATTCGTTCGATTTCAATTCGTTACATTTTCCACGTAAATAGTCATTATAATTATTATTAAGGTCTACGTTGATTTCTGCTGTCGAGCAATGTCACCGAAAAACCTTAAACGAAAAATAAAACGAAATTGTGAACATAAATCTAATATTTATTATAAAATCTTCATATTTGTGCATCTCGCAAATGCTATGATTAAAGAATTATAAAAAGAGACGATCCAGCAGAGGGCAAATCTATTAATTAGTAATTATTATAATGTGATGTTATATATATAAATCAATCGATAAACAAGAAACCTAAAGAAAATTAAACAACAACAAAAACAAAACAAATGAAATATACAAAAAATTGTTAACCAACGTAACAAATTTCACTAAGTAGATTTTTCGAATTAAATTTAAATAATAATAATTAAAAGTATAGCAAAAAAAAAAAACCAGAAAAACAAAATAACATTGCTGTATACACGAGATAAAAATGCGTTTTTCTACTAAAAAGAAAATATGTAAAATGATTTTTCAAGTTTAGATTACCCCATATACCTTATTATATAAAAACAAATTATACAGATATAAATTACAAATTCTATGTAAATGTTGTGCGTATATAAAAGCAAATTGTAGTACCCCACATTTGGAGATTTTTAGTTATTTATTATGTGTGTGCTATATCTTCTTCTATGTATAAAAAAAAAACAAAAAACCGCTTGGCTTCGTCTATCAAAAATTTTGGGCCTTAAACCACCCCAATTAAGCCGGGGCCTTGATGTTCTTCATATTACCCAGCATTCTTCAGATCAATATATCTATATACCCCGGGGGAGGGGGGCAACCCACACACTAAAGGTTATTCTATGTCTACGTGAATGTGTTCGTTTCTAAACTTGTAAAAAAGCACGCACCCCTCTCCGCTCAGACACGAAATGTTTGTAAAATATTGACAGAGAGAGTTAGAAGGACGATACGAAATTAACTTATAAAACTATAATAATACTTTCGGGAGTAAAGGAAGAAAACATTTTAGTTTTTCTACTTGAATCGCATTTCTTCCACTTTTCACTAATCAAATCAAATTTAAATGAGAAGTTCATACGAAGAATTGAATTTTGAGTCTCTTCAATCCTCAAGCTCAAAATAAACCCCAACAAAAGGATAATCTAATAATAATGAAGTTTATAGGTTCTATTATTTAGTTGTCTTGTTATTTATATGTTTAGCTATAATTTTTGTCTAATTTATTTATAAGTTTTGGCTCCGCAATAAATACAGACAATTTATATATAAATATATATTTTTATTATTTGTTTTATTTTCACATTTTTGATCCGTGAATAAAGGATGAAGAAAATAAAAGCTAAAAAATGGATAACAAATGAATTGCTAAATTTAAGCGCAAAAGTTCAATTAATAAAAATTAGAATTTTAATATTAACATAATTTGGAAAATATTTATATATACATATGCATATATATACAACTCTATATATGAATAATTAGTAACAAATCAAATCAATTTCCATAACAACCGCCAGATAAAAAAACGAAAAAATATTCTTAGTGACGAGTGCAGAAACACTCGTGCAATTGTACTTTAAAATTGAATAAAATTCAAAAAGCAAAAAAAACCAATGAACAGTGAAGGTGGATAAGAAAAGAGTGTAATGGAATGGAGCGCCACATGCAACTCTGTTTGCACAGGGTTGCCATCGACAACTTGAAAGCAGCCTTTAGAAGAGGGCAAGAGAACAGTCGAAACACAAGCAGACTCACTCACACACAAGGCTTGAGATCAACAGAGCGAAGGAAATAGTTTAAAGTAGAGTTGATTGATTAATAATGAATATTGATTATTATTGGTGAATGTGACGTGCGTTGGGAGCAGTAATTGCAACAATAATTCCAGGCATATCGAAGCATTTTTACTCAGCACTCAGACGACAGCAATCAGCGAAATCGGCAACCAAAACTGATGGCAATAACAAGCAAAAAAGAAAAACCAATTCGGGATCAGAGAGCGAAGACAAACAGGAAGATGAAGTACCCACACACAGAGATACACAAACACAATCACAATAAAGGACGAACGCGAACAAGTAAAACCTTAACGGGATTCACATATGTATATTCAAGAAGCAATAATGAAAGTATATTTCCAAGTATGATAAAAACAACCAAGAAAGTCAAGAACTAACATGAATAAATATTTATACATATATTTTAATTATAGTTACAAATTAGCATATATATAAATTATACATACATACAAATATATATACCGAAGATAGTCCAAATAATTTAGCAAGGAATGAAAACCGAAAACGAAGTAAAGTTTAATATTTACAAAATATTAAAATATCAATGTGCAATTTAACAAGCGTTTAAAACACCACACTGACACAGCCACACAAAATTAATGCTACACCTATATATACAGAAACATATGTAAACCGATTATAAACATTATATATGCGTATATAAAATGCCGATACGAAATAACGCTCCATTTAAAAACGAGAAGGCAAGCGACAAACTTAAGTGGCGAAAAACAATTTAGTTTTGTGTGCACACACGAACACCACAGTAAACCCTACTTAAAAGGAAATCAAAATTCAACTAACAAAAAACCACACGAAACGAAGCCGTGCTAAATGCTACAAAAAGCGGTTCAAGTCAAGTTTTTGAGCAAATACTCATAATTGTTAAACATGTTTAAATAATATAATAACAAAAGCAAAAAAAAAAAATTAAATTAAAAACAAACAAAAATCCGTAACAAAAACAAATTGCATATTACTATATATTTTCTCTCTCCTTAGACAATTTAGTTAATTATGAAAAGTAATGAAAAACAAACATTATACTTAAGTGTTAGTCTTATATATAAATAAAAATATGATTAATAAAATGAAAAAGAAAAGATAAATGCAGCAAAAGAAAATCATGGAACGCAGCCGACGAAAGAAATGTGAAGAGCACAGTAACAGCAAACAAGTGAAAATAATGGAAAATTTAAACCAGCAAAAAACAAAAACGAAATGAGAAAAACAAAACTTAAATTAAGAAATTAGATTTGCCTTTGTGTTAATATCAAGTGTGTTTCTTATTACCATTATAATTATTATTATTTTTTCATTTCCAATTGGTCAGACGTGTGAAATGATTTCCTTACATATTGATTGAGAAATAAAAATTATTAAACAAAAAAAGCAACAAATGGAGTTTTTCTATCTTTAGGGTTTACCACGACTTCGCATGGTTGTTTCCCAGGCTATATGATATGTCTAAGTATTTTGTAAACCCAACTTATTATTCGATTCACCTACAGGAGGATAGCTTATCAGTATGGAACCGGACTGCCACTGATATGACCAGTACAACACGTATCCGTGATACGTTACGCAGGATATTAAATATACCTCTAACAACGGCAATGGAGTATAAGATACACTGTGATAGCCTTAAATATGTTTCAATGTAAGTACGCTACTTTGATTAGGATATATGAATAGTAAAAAAACATAAATCACACTTTAGTTTTTGAAGGATGTGTAAAATAGTTCTATGTTTTAAGAACTCCGTTCCACTTAACAAGTATTTCGAAACATATAGACAAATTTTTGCTTTACTTATCCTAACTTATCTGATAATCTGAATACAACCTGTACCTTACGCAGGCCAAGGCGTCGAATTCGAAAGATGGGGAATCTGTTTAATCGTAATCGATACTCGTTCAATACAAGGAATGGAAGATCATGACTAAAAAAATTCAATGTGATTTTGCATAGCATTAATTATATGGAAAGGGAATCGGGTTTCGGCATAGCCAGCTTGCAATTCACTAAACACGTAATATTCTTCTCTTATTTTGCAGTAATAAAGGCCCATTGAAAAGCTGAAATTCAGTGAATAACTATAAACAAAAGAAAAACAAAAACAATAATTACACAAACAGATAATATATAAGTCGCTAGTGGAAGCAGCAAAAGTCACAAGTTCATCGACAGCACAGACAAGAGAAACCGAAACCAACAGCAGTTAGCACAAGGAACCATCGTGGACACACTGGAACACATCATCCCCATCGGAGCCGAACCCACATCCTAGAAAGCCGTATCAACAACGATGGCGGGAGTGGCTCCCAACTCGGCCATTTCCGCCTCAGAAATCGAACATTAAATCCATAGCAAGGCAAATTAATATTTAAGCGCTAATGAGACAAATCTTTGTATTTTAAACGAGTTTACAAAGTGTGTGTATATATGAAACGCCATGAATATGTTAGTTTGTATGTATAAAGTTTACATTAGGCATTCCCTATTAAAGAAAATTAAAGTCCCTTAACAACTGCCTGATACTGAAGCTACTAATCTGGCTGAATCAATCTTAGTTTATTTTGTATTAATTTATCGAACCTTATCTCTTAATCAACCCAAAGCGATTGGACCACCTCTTGTATTGTAGCCTTACTGATTATCGCCATAGCCGGCAGGCAGCCAACACACAAGATAACGAATCAATGAAACTGACACACTAACTAGCCGATACTGTATTTATCTGTTTGCAATGATTATTTTAAATTAATGATACAAACCGAAACTGAATAATCAAATTGTTTGTTTTTGTTCTTGAAGAAATACAAAAAGTTTTTTACGTGAAGAAAAAAAAGAGAAAAACTAAAAATTGAAACAAAAAGCAAAACCCAGTTGTTTTACATATACCCAAAAGAGATCAGAGAATCACCGGCACCTTCACTCGAACCATAGCCTCACACATCCCAAAATTTATCTATCCCGTTAACTTCCTCCGGTACAGTACAACCAACGCAAGTCCAAATAAAGGAACCTATTAAAGTTGCTGAAAATATTTTCAAAACAACTTTGTGAGTTATCATTCTTTGGAGTAAGTATGATTGCCAGATAAAATGAGTCCAGTTGGATACGAGATTATACAGTTACTGGGTTTATTTATTGGAAATTGAAAAGCTCGAGCTTTACATTAAAGTTACTTCTAATGTTTAATGTTAATCCGATTGTATTCCTAATGTTTATATGTCCTCAAACGATGTCAAGTCCATGATATAAACATTTGATACGAGACAATCGCCTTCCTGAAAACGAAAGTGAAAGAATGTTAATAATCGTTTTCCAATAGACCACTTAAATACATACCCCAGGGGTAATGCCCACAAGGGCATCGGCATGGCCGTAGAACTCCTCCTTCAAGGAGATTACGATGGTCTGAAGATTAGTCGTGTGGTCTCTTATGTACGAAGCTACTTTGCCAATATTTGTGTTGTCCAAGGCTGCATCTATCTCGTCGAGCACAAAGAATGGCGCTGGATGATAGCTAAAGAAAAAAACAATTTTAAGTTTAGATTTTTTACTATTTTATCAATTAGTTTAGCTAACCTGTGAGTGGAGAAGAGCAGAGCCAAGGCAGCGATGGTTTTTTCACCGCCACTCAAGTTGTTCATGGGCTGGAAACGTTTGCCGGGCGCAACACAATTGTAGTTAATACCATCCAAATACGGTTCTTCGGGATTATCGGGACCGATGTAAGCCTGTGCCGCCTCGTTGCGAGCCAACTTTTTATAGATGCCATCGATGGCATCCGATATGTGCTGACAGCAGGCAACGAACCGGGAGGAGCGCTCATTTTTAACCCGCTCGAAAGCAGCCTTTGCCTTCTTAGCCTTTTTCCGCGCATTCTCAAACTCTTCGTTGGTAGATTGCACCTTTTCTGTCACGGCATCAAGTTTCTGCAGGGCTTTCATGTTCGGCGTCTGTATGCGCTCCAGCACATCCAGTTTACTTTGCAGATCCTTTTGAAGCATTTCATGGGTTTTTTTGAAGGCGGAGTCATCCTTGAGCTTGGAAAACTCTCGTGGTAGTGATGAATAATCCACCTCAATACTAAAGATGAAGAATTAAAAATGTTTGTTTTATACAGTTTCAAGTTTATAATTTGAGAACCTACAGATTATCCATTGCCGTAGATGTGGAGGCCATATCCGCATCGCTTTGTCGCACTGCATCGTCCAGCGAGCCACGCAACAAAGGTACCACTATGCAATCGGTCTATGGTGAAAGAAACCTTGTTTAAAGAGTTTATGATAAAACGTAATTTGACTTACTTTCGCTTGCAAAAGAATGTTCTGGCGTTCGTTTTTCTTCGCTTCAATCTTGGACTCCACCGATGACAAATGGCTTCCCACGTTGTGGATTTCTTTGGCCAGGTTCGCAACATCCCGGCGAGCTTTGGATATGTCTTCCTCCATGTCGTCCACGGCTTGCTTCTTGGCCTGCTTATCCTGCTTGAACTTTTCCATTTTCTCCTTGTCCTCATCGATCTCCTTTAGATAACGCGCCTCAGCTGTTTTGAGTCCCTCCAGAGCATCTTCCTCATCCTGCACGCTGCGTTCCCAACGCTCAACGTTCTCTGCAAGCAAGGGTTTGTATTGGTTCTATTTGTATGGTTCGTAATACTGACTTTTTGTGTCCTTCTGCTTCTCGAAGTCCAGCTGCGAGTTTATGGAATCTATCTGCTGCTCGAACTCGGCCCGCTTGCGTGCCCGCTCCTGCTGCATGACCAGCTCCCGTTCCTCATACTGCCGGATGTTCTTTACACCCAAGCGACGGCAGAAATTCGCATATACTTTGTCCTCCACGTTGTTCATGTTTTCTTTAATCTCCTGTATGTGCTCCTCGCGGTTTTGCATTCGTCGCTCGATCTCACTGATCTTGGGCTGCGGAATTATGAAGAACAATTATTTATTGTTAATATGATTTAATTCAAAGCCAAACTTACCCCAAAATCATCCAGCTGGGTTTGAACACCTTGCAACTGGTTGTCATACTGGGCAATTGACTTTTTGGAAGACTCCAAATCCACCATACTATACTTGAGACGATTCTCCAGGCCCTTGATCTGCGACTCCACAGTGGCAAGCTCACTTTGTTTGCGAGACTTCTTCACAAGTTCCTTAAGCTCTTCTTGGAGGCGTTCCTTCTGCATCTTTAGCTGTGCCATGTGCTTCTCGTCCCAACGTTTGGCTTTGCGCGCCAAATCATGACTGCCGCCAGATATGAGGCCGGATTTCTGGTAGAACGTTCCATCCAAAGCCAGAGCATCAAACCGCGATCGATCGATCTCGTAGGCCACCTTCATGGCGTCCTCGGGAGTTTCGCAGACTAGTGCGTTGCCAGTGGCAAAGAGAACGGCTCGTTCGATCTCCTGTGGCTCGAACTTGAGCACATCGAAGACCAATCGCACATTGCGCGGTTCGCTGATGTTGCGGAGTCGCTCCTTCAGGGGCTTTACTTGCAGATAATCCAAGGGCAAAAAGGTTTCCACTTCCAGCATTTGCTCTTTCAAGATCTATTCGAGAATTTAATGATTAGATAGTGGTAGCTACTAAGTAAAAAGGTTACCCACCTGAATGCAGTGGCGCGCTGTTTTCTCTGTATCCACAATAATGGCTTCCATGAACTTTCCCAGCACTTTGGTGACGGCGACGTTATAGCGCTTATGCGTGGGCTGACACATGTTGATCATACGGTCGTACACTCCGGGAACCTGCTTCTTAAACAGCTCAACCACCTCCTGCTTCTTTTTCCGCCGCGCATCCTCGTGCTTGTCACTCTTGGCATCGCCTAGTTGGTCGCGCACGTTTTCCAGCTCGCGTTGCTTTTCGGCAATCTTCTCCTTCGAGCTACCAACATCTCTACGGAGCTCGTCTTTGATGCGGTTCTGCTCCTCCAAAGCTGCCTGGGAGGATTTTATGTGGTCCATCAGTTTGTCTCGACGCTTCACAGCTTCCTCACGCTGCAGAGTGAGTTTCTTGAAGGATTCCTCAACGGAGGCACGACGATTTGTCTCGCCATCGAGCGTGTCCTGTTCGGACTTCTGCTCCCGGTTAACCGAGTCCAGCTCGGAACGGTACTGAGTCGCTGTGGCCTCCGCTTCCTGCTTAAGACGATCGTACTCCTGCACTAGGCCTTCCTCCATGTTGACACTCTTTCCCCGGCGCTGCGATTCATTCTCGATCTCATCCTCAAACCTTTTTTTTAGAGCCTCAACATCGGCCAGCTGTTTCTCAAGCTTTCGTATATCTGACTGGTGGGCATTGTCTGCCTCGCGGGCTGTCTCCAGAGTCTTTTGCAGCGAAGCGAGCTTCTTTTTGCAGTGGGTAACCTTCTCCTTTGCTTTGATGTATAACGGCCGGCGTTTGTTCATCTGTGTTTCAAACTCCCGTATTTCCTGATCGATTTTAGCCAGGTCCCGCGTTATCTTTCCAGCGTCCTTCTTTTTCTCGCGAAGGATTTCATCGGCGGCTTCTTTGCGCTGTTCCACAGCCTTAACCTCTTGCTGTCTCACTTCCAAATCACTGGTAAACTTGCGAATGTCTCTCTCGACGTGGAAGAGCCTGAACAGCTGATACTCCACTTGTTTCTCATTCTGTAAAAGTGATAATTGTTAAAAGTCTGAATTAATTTAGTGTAAGAGCGGGGCGTACGTATTCGTTTTGGAGGCGAGTATAGCGATCGGCTTCCATTTTCTCGTGCTTGGCCTCTTTGCGTTCCGCCGCAATGCCCTTCTTCTTTTGGTAGGTGAACTGCGTCTCCTCCTCTGCCACAATCATTTCCTGCTTTAATCGGTTGTAATCATCCTTGAGCAGGCCAGAGCTAGAAAAGTAGAATAAAGTTAAGATACAAGCAGTTCCTGGTTTTTGAGCTCATTAGTTACCCGCTGATTTCCTCAAAAAGAGCCGTGCGTTCTTTGGGTGTCTTCATGGCAATGTTTTCTACAGCACCCTGAAACACCAGGAAGTTCTTGGCCTTGACATTGATACCGATCTTTTCCAGCTTGTTCAGGTAAGTGCTGCTCGAGACGCTCTAAAAATTAAAAGGAGATTAGGTGGGCTGCTAAGAATTGTATATTGCCTATCGGAACAAACCTCTCCGTTGATGCGGTATTCCGAGGAGCCGCTTATGACCGCCCGCTGGAAATCCATGTGCAGGTCCTGATTGAGCACAAACTTGGCCGTCACATAGCAGCTGCGGGAAATGGGCTTGCCAATGGAAGAACCGTGAATCAAGTCGTTGAGTCGCTTTACACGTAGACTGCTGGTCTTTTCGCCCATCACGAAACTGATGGCATCCATGAAGTTCGACTTTCCGGAACCATTTGGCCCAATAACCGCGTTGAACTGCTTCAGGGGACCCACAACTATGTGACCGCGGTAGGACTTGAAGTTCTCCATTTCGATGTACTCCAGAAAGGCCGTCTCGTCATCCGGCTTGCGAACGGGCGCCGCCGCCATCCTCTGTGACACCTCGTCATCTTCGTCGGCCATTCGCACGCTCCGTTGCCAATTAATTTACGTAAAATAACAATAAGAGCGCGAAATTAATTTTTTTCGCTAGAAAGTATCAAGACGCTAGAGATGGTAAGGTGTGGAACAAAACTATCGAATAAAACTCGAGAAATATTTTATGTGCATATCGATATATTTATAAATCATTTATTTACATTTTACGTAAAATGTAAAACCGTCAAATTACTCGGCGCTTAATTTAAACTGTTCAAACATTTTTTTTGTTAAGTTTTACCACTCCTTTTAAAATTATTAAACTTGCACCCCGCCCTGATGTTTGGTAATTTCAGGTGTTCGTAAAATGTCCACAGATTTAAGAGATGTGTTTAAACAAAGAATTTTTCTTAAAAGGTTCTGCAGGTTGCAACTTTTTTTTTTTAAGGATAAATATTAAAATACAAATCGGGCCAATAATAATGACAATAATAGTAACATGTTTTTAAAGTGTACATATTTCACGAAAAAATTGTACAGTGAAATCCTATTCTGCTTATCAATGATTACTGTTTAATTTTATTAAACAAGCCTTCTTCTGCAAAACCACTTTGCATTTAAAACGGAATATTTTTGTTAGATGACTAAGAAAATTGCATGTCTATAGATTTTAACCTGAGCGAAAAAATATCATCGAAAACAAACTGCTATACATATGTATTTCGCCAACAAAGTCTAAAGATATATGTTTGTATGCAAATATGTACGTATTTATACAGACGTCAATAAAGCAAATAAAAATTATCTAAAAATATGAATGGCTTAATGTATTTATACGAGTGCTGCCAAAAATAGCTGGCACACGGATTTATTTTTATTGTTCGAATCGAGTGCTGACCTACGGCAATAAAAAACCTATCCCTTGATTGTTCTTGAACTTTCTACTCCTTAAACTCTTACAATTTCCCCTGCGTGGTGTACACTAACTGTCTCGCTTACACTCACTAGAAGGGTCTCGAACACTCTACAATGCTCCACACTCTTCTAGTAGGGAAATCTCGTATTTTCCCCTTCCTGGCGCTGAGTATAAATAGCAGCGCAAATTTCCCAGCCGCACATTTGAAATCAAGCAGTCAAAGTGAAAACTTGAAACAAGCGAGAAAAAAAACGCAGTCCAAAGTGACGGTTGAGAAGTGAAAATTATTTAACAAGTGATCTGAAAATTGTTTAAAACGTCATACAAAATTAAAAATCACAAACCAGTTTTAAACTAAAAGGCTAGAACAAAAAAGCAACAAGATGCCAGCTATTGGAATCGACTTGGGCACCACGTACTCGTGCGTTGGTGTCTTCCAGCACGGAAAGGTGGAGATTATCGCGAATGACCAGGGCAACCGCACAACCCCATCCTACGTTGCATTCACCGATTCAGAGCGCCTAATTGGAGACGCTGCCAAGAACCAGGTGGCCATGAACCCAAAGAACTCGGTCTTCGATGCCAAGCGATTGATTGGTCGCCGTTTCGACGATCCCAAGATCCAGGAAGACATGAAGCACTGGCCATTCCGCGTGATCAACGACAATGGCAAACCCAAGATGAGCGTGGAGTTCAAGGGCGAGGAGAAGCGCTTCGCTCCGGAAGAGATCAGCTCGATGGTGCTTACCAAGATGAAGGAGACGGCCGAGGCCTTTTTGGGCACTACAGTTAAAGATGCCGTCATCACAGTGCCCGCCTACTTCAACGATTCTCAGCGACAGGCCACCAAAGATGCCGGCGCCATCGCCGGATTGAATGTGCTCCGCATTATCAACGAGCCCACCGCTGCTGCTCTGGCCTACGGCCTGGACAAGAATCTTAAGGGAGAACGCAATGTGCTCATCTTTGATCTGGGCGGCGGAACCTTTGATGTCTCCATTCTGACCATCGACGAGGGATCGCTCTTCGAGGTGCGCTCCACCGCCGGAGACACTCATCTGGGTGGCGAGGACTTTGACAACCGTCTGGTGAACCACCTGGCCGAGGAGTTCAAGAGGAAGTACAAGAAGGATTTGCGCTCCAATCCCAGAGCACTTCGTCGCCTTCGCACGGCTGCCGAGCGTGCAAAGCGCACTCTATCCTCCAGCACGGAGGCTTCGCTGGAGATCGATGCTCTGTTTGAGGGACACGACTTCTACTCCAAGGTGAGCCGCGCCAGATTCGAGGAACTTTGCGGCGACCTCTTCCGCAACACGCTCCAGCCCGTGGAGAAGGCACTCGCCGACGCCAAGATGGACAAGGGCCAGATCCACGATATTGTCCTGGTTGGTGGCTCGACTCGCATTCCCAAGGTGCAGAACCTGCTGCAGAGCTTCTTTGGCGGCAAGACCCTTAATCTCTCCATCAATCCGGACGAGGCGGTGGCTTACGGAGCTGCCATCCAGGCAGCTATTCTTTCGGGAGACGAGAGCAGCCAGATCAAGGATGTGCTGCTGGTGGATGTGGCTCCTCTATCACTGGGAATTGAAACCGCTGGTGGAGTGATGACCAAGCTGATCGAGCGCAACAGTCGCATTCCCTGCAAGCAATCGAAGACCTTCACCACCTACGCGGACAACCAGCCAGCAGTGACCATCCAAGTTTTCGAAGGAGAGCGTGCTCTGACCAAGGACAACAATGTGTTGGGCACCTTCAATCTGACCGGCATTCCGCCAGCTCCTAGGGGAGTACCCAAGATCGATGTCACCTTCGATCTGGATGCCAATGGAATCCTGAATGTTACCGCCAAGGAGCAGGGCACTGGCAATGCCAAGAACATCACCATCAAGAACGACAAGGGTCGCCTCTCCCAGGCGGACATCGATCGCATGCTCAACGAGGCTGAGAAGTACGCCGAGGAGGATGAGCGTCATCGCCAGCGGATTGCCGCTCGCAATCAACTGGAGAGCTATGTGTTCGGCGTGAAGGAGGCGGCCGAACAGGGTGGCGATCGCATCAGTGCGGCGGACAAGAGCAGTGTCCTGGAGCGCTGCAGTGAGACGGTAAAGTGGCTAGACAGCAACACAACCGCCGAGAAGGAGGAGTTCGAGTACAAGCTGAAGGAGCTGACCCAGTTCTGCAGCCCCATCATGACCAAGATGCACCAGCAGGGAGCTGGCGACGGACAGCAGGCTCCAAACTGCGGACAGCAGGCGGGTGGCTACAAGGGTCCCACCGTCGAGGAGGTGGACTAAGTCCAAAATCAGGAGTAAAACTAATGTAGATCTCATAACCAAAAATTCTCCTAGTTAAAATATGCTACCGAGTAGTATTTAATAAATATTATTTATGACTTGCCATAACTTATAAAATGTGTTTGCTTTAATGAAATTGAAGAAATTCATTTCCAGGCATCTTTTATCTTTAAAAAATTGGAGTTTGATTAGTAACAGAATATATATTTATTGATTTACAAACATTTACTTGGGCAAACCTTCTCGTTCGGCCCAATCTAGCCAAGATCCCTCGTAGTTCTTCAGGTTCCTAAAACCCAGAGCTGCAGCAGCTTCTGCGGCCTTGAGACTCCTTTTGCCGATCTTGCAGTGGAATATAATTTCCGTATCCGGTTTCGGCTTATCCCGACCGTATTTCGATTTAAAGAGCTGCTCACTGGCCGACAACTCCTGGCTTACCACACCTAGCGGAATGTTAATGCTGGCGGGGATTTGACCGGTCTCCTTTAGTTCATCTGGCTCCCGAACATCAATGAGTAACTTCTGCGGCTCACTGGGAAGTTTCTTGACCACGTCGTAGTCCACAATTCCAATTACGGGTGGTTTGCTGCTATAGAACCGCTGCAGGAGATTGTTTTGAGGATTCTGGGCAGTCTTCAGAGGGATCTGGGTTCTCAAGACCCTTAAGGCCGATATGCAATGTCTCATCGACATTTTGAGTATAATAAATGCTTTAATCCACCACAAAAATAAATTATTACGTAAAATCTCAAATAACAACAAATGAATGCCGGCTGTCAGCTGTTCACAACACTTTACTATTGCTTGGATATGGTGAGGTGAACTTGTCTGAAAGGTGAATTTCCATTTGGCGCGCTTTTTAAAATTAATAATATTGACTTTATAAAATGGAGGCATGAGTATGTTAAGTTATATACGTATAAAATTAAGTTCCTTTAAAGTCTATCTAAATTTAAACTGTACAAAATATTTTTGTCGCTTTGTTTTTGGTAAAAAGTTAACTCCATAAAAAAAGGTGTTCATGTTGTTATTGCATTCTATATTAAACCTCGTTTTAAATTACAATCGTAAAACCAAATTATCTCTTCTTTCTGTTAAAAGTAATGTTAAGCTTTTATACACAAATATTTCCAACACTGGCTTGATTAGAATTGGCGCCTGATTTGAACATCTCCTCTTGATTCCCCTAATGCCGGCTGACGCAGATTCCCATGTCGCAATCAAATCTGTTGCCAGGGCGAAAACTCAACCAACACTCGCAGGCTTCGTGGAGTGTGTGTGTCAAGGCCTGGGACCAAATCACCCGTCAACGCCTGATAAGTTCAACGAACAAGATTCCCGCCGGCAGGGCTTGATTGAATCAATTAAACGGAATGGATTGCGATCCCGGATTCGGGATCGGTCAAGTAAACAAACGGTGGGGGGGTACGGCATAAATGACTGGACATCTCGGCACGCGCTCGTCTAGCCAAAATGGAGTTGGTTACAGATAGCCCGATGGCATGTTTGGCATCCGGAAGACAAGGAGAGTGTGATCCCCCCGGTTGTTTATTTGGACAGATAAACAAACCCAAAGAGACGTAGTCTTTCTCAATAGACCGTAACGGGGGGTTCAACGACTGGCGATCGAACCGGTTACGCTTATCACAAGTCGTCTCATGATAACGACTAGCCCACCTCAACATTCGCTGTTCTACTTAAGAAGCGCGTGCCTAAATGAGTTAATTGATAAACGCAGTTGTTTTTCTCAAAGATATTTCGACGTTTTATTGTATAAAATATAAATCTTACGACTACAAAAATGGCAACAATACACAGTGTTAGCTTCGCAGGATGTTCACAAAATACATTTGCCTAGGACCCGAGCGTCTAATGCTAATACAACGAGTGATGTGAACGGATGGGTGACAGGACTTTGCACTGATTCGGTACAGGATTTTGGCTCTTTCACCTTTTTTCATTTTGAGCCAGCGATGTGGCCGAGTGACTCGCCCACGCGGATCTTTTGGCCAGCGACGATGTCAAACTTGAAGTTCTTGGGGGCCTCGAAAAGCAGGACAATGGTGCTGCCCATGTTGAACTGTCCAACCAGGTCGCCTTTGTCAAACTTAGGCGCCGTTTTGGGTTCCTTGTCGAGGACCAGTTCGTCATACTCGTAGGTGCTGCGCGGATGTTTGCCAACTTTAAGACCATTCCAGCGGTTCGTCTTGAGATCGGCATCTATGAAGATTTCGACGGATCCCACGTTCGTGGCTCCGACAGCGGTGTAGGAGAAGAATCCGTGCCTCCACTGGCCCATGTACAGTACACGTTCGTTAAGGCAGAAGAGACCAGGCAGCCATCCGGCTACTTTGGGACTTACAGAGAGCAATTCGCCGGAGAAATGACGACGGATGGTGGGCTCCCAAGCGGCAGGTGAGTGGAATCGGTGGTAATCTCCAGGGGCCAGGTATATCACGCACTGGTAGAGCTCCGTGGACTCGTCGCTCTTCTTTTTCAGGGCCTCTGCATAAGAAACACCTGATTTAGCCTCTTCGACAGTCTGCAGTGGTCCCAGGAAGTCCTCGATGCTGTAGCTCACGCCTTTGACCTGTTCGATCAGCGAATCCGAGGCACTGCCAAAGTGCAGAACCTTGCCATCGGCGGGCGAGACCAAAGGAGCGTGCTTATCGATCGGCCGGACACCCTCCCGAAGTGGCCTAGTGAAGAACTCGGCCAGACTGTTGTAATGCTCATACTCCGGATACAGAGCCTCACTCAGATTCACATTGTACGTATTGGAATACCAGCCGTATACGTATGGACGCAGACTCGGTGGCAAGTAGCAAGCGGCCAGCCAGCCCCAACAGCGACTGATGATCCGTAGCGGCAGGGAGCAGTAGATGCGCGACTGGAGCTCGGACGCGGTACGGGGCTGGCCGCTCCGGTCGCAGCGCTGCTTCTGCAGCTGCCACTCGATGGCGCCGAAGACACAAATGCCCATGGGCGCCCAGCGCAGCAGGAAGCTAGTCCAGCGTGAGATTAAGTTGCGCCGGAGCTGGACCAACTCCTGGCCAGAATTGGGGGGTTGTTTATGCGGGCGGCGATGGTGGAGTTGTGCATCCTTGGCAGAGTTTGTAGCGAACTGCCGGAAGTGTCGGGCCGTGGGCAAACTAGCGTTTTGTGCCTGCGGCTGGGGTCCTTTGGTTGTCAGCAGCTGGAGTTGCGTCGGCTGGTGCTGCTGCTGCACCACCTGTCTGAGATTGCCGGCCTTCAGCAGGAAGCGGCCACGAGGAACGAAGTAGGAAACCATTGTTGCTGCTTTGGATTGCTCTTGCTATTGACAAATCGCAGCCCCCACCGCGCTAATCACGTAATCACGTATATGTGCTCAGATAAATATGGCACGATGTGGTCTGGTCTCGGGGCTTCGGCTTCTGTTTTTGTTTGTTCAATCTGGCGCGTTTAATTCGGCTGGCTTTTAAGTGACTGAGTGGGCGGCGCTTAATCCGCAAATCGAATAATCCGGACTAGGGCCTAGGAACAGATGCAAAACAATAGCAAACACTCGCATGCGATTCGGAATTCAAATATGTGTTGTGTGGGAACGGAGGATTTCTAGATGGTTCAATTGTTGCTTCCGTATCGCTGTGGTGCCTGCAAGAGACTGAAAGTTTTCCATGGGTCGGCAATAGCGAAGAGGCCACAATGTGACCACCGCCAGTGCTGCCAGCTGATATAATTAGCTTTTAGTAGCTAGTTAATGTACGCCGCAATCTGAACTGTCTATGCGTTGATAAAAACATTACAAAAACAAAGTCTCCCCCTTAAAAAAGTCTGGTTTCTTCGTGTTTTTTTTTTTTTTTTTTTTTTGCTGATTTAAGTGCAAATCTCTATCAGTTTCTCCTCTTAGTTGGTTCTGTTTCCTATGTTTTTTTTCCTTCTTTGAAGCTCTTTGCTTATCATCGACTTTGGCGTGCGACAACAGATTGCGGAAGCCAATGTCCTTAACCTTTAATTCTTTGACTGGACGTGGGGTACGAAATACGTCATTTCACAGCTTCAAATTCCAAACAATTGGCGTATCATTTTTTTATAATTTGTTTGTTTTTGATGACCTAATCTAAACGAGACAACTACTTGAGAATGGGAAAAGATGTTAGCTTTTTGAACTTCAAAAAAGCGTTACTTTCTTTTATGAGAAATATTTAATCTGTTTTATTATTTTTATTTAAATAAAATTTTAATTTAATTAACCAGCCAACTAATAAACAGTATATGTTTTTCTAAAAACTGAGTTCGGCTTTCAATTCCAAGCTAGTTTGGCAGCACTGGCGACGGCACAGCGTCTGTTTTGTAGCTTACCAAAACAAACTAAAAGCGCGAGTTCTATGTTATCAGCGGGAATAGTGGTCAAGGCCCGAGGCTCCACGGCACGCGTAAGACTCTTCAAATAGCCAATGTTTTTGTTTAAAACTGGTTTTTAGTGACTTTTTTCTTTTTTATTGTCCCGCTTGTTGTCGGTGGACAATTCTTGATCCGATTACTGCGCCATTTTCCTACTCTCTTTTTCTATCGAAGTGGCAGCCCTGGCAACAGCTGCCAACAGCTGATTTGTTTGTTTGTTTTGAACTTAGTGGAATTTATAAATAATAGAGAACAAAAAGAATTGGAATGTCCTAGATACACGAGCTTGAGATTCTGACGTTAGGAACCGAAGCAAATGATCCTTGGAGGCAATTTTTCACTAAATTCTTTCTTGGTACATGGTGGTACGTTTTAAAAAAGTTTGCTGTGTTTGGGCTTGCGTACCGGCTAACAGTACAGAAACAAACCATAACATTCAAGGAAAACCGGCTAACAGTACAGAAACAAACCATAATATTCAAGGAAAAAGAAAATGATTATAATGGTGATGCCAACCTGTGAAAAAGGTGGATATTTAAGGGTATTTTTATTGATTGAAGCAGATGTGCGGACCATCATCTGGCAACGTTGAATACATTTTCAAACCAAAACAATATTTGGCAGCGAACGGTTGATTCGCGGTCGCTGCTCCGCTCTCTTTTCGTGTGCGCGTGTGTTAGTGCGTTCTGTGTGTGTGTGTTTGCTGGCGATTGGGTCAGAAGTAAATTGAATTAAAGCTCCCAAAAATAAATGCAAAACTGCCCCCATTTGATTATGCCCATCACCAAATTTATATGCCGGGCTTGAATTAAGGCAAATACGTGTAAAAAACGAAAGACGCCTGGCTGCTTAGAAAATTCCAATAGGAAGGCCAACAGCAAAAGTTCTGCAAAGCACAAAAGAGAGGGGCAAAGAATAAGAGAGAGCCAAACAGATAGCAAAACAGAACACAAAAGCCGTTAATTTAGCATTAATAATTTCTGTCAGTGTTTTTGTTTTTCTGCCTGATTTACGCGCGTGAATTTCTGGTTGTATTTTTATTTTGAATGGTGCCGAAGTGTTTTCAAAAAATTCCACTCAATCGGTTGGCATCCTGCTTTTAATTCAAACACCCGCCCCACCCAATCCAAAACACAAAAATCAAAATCTGTAAGATGCAGCAGGAAGTGTGATGTCACCACTTTGGCCCCGCGGCAACAACAAGTTTTTACTATTGCCAGCAAAAAAGCAAATATCACCGGGATAACAACAACAATATTGCAACGATCTGAAGATGTTGCACTTGCATTTGTTTTTGCTACCGCTGCTGCTGCTCAACACATGCTTGCAACATATTTTTCAGCCGGCGGAAGCGACAACGTTCCACCAGCCAGGAGAAAAGCCAAAAGGTGAGTCCGCAGATAGTCATGTGGAAAAATCACTCCATGTTTGTTGCCACCGACCTACAGGTGAACGTAAACCAAACCACGCTACCAAAGTGTTCTTTTTATGAGAAGGTTTTTAAGGAATTCATGTTTTTAATTACAGTACAAACTTAAAAAAAAACCTTCCACACAACTAAAAAATATTCCAAGTATCATAGCGGGTTATATTAGGTATTTTAAAAATTTAAAACTTGATAACTGAATCAAGTTCGTTGCCTAATCAGGTTCGGCCAGTAAGTACAGTGGTTAAAAAAAAGCTCCGCAAAAGAATGTGTTAAATTTATTCAAGCAAAGTAGATAACGATTTGAGCAGGTGCCTTTTACCTCAAAGGCATGCGGAAATTAGGTAAAAGTATTTTTTTTGGGAAACTTTATTGACCAGGTTTGCTATCAAACCAAACCACGTATTCTTTATGGCTTTGTTGACTCATGTACGATAATAAAGTTTATTTTAAGTATTAATTAAGTTCTCCTTCCAGTGAATCACACTTAGTATGTAATTATCTTATTGAAGTAATTCTATGTCAGTAATATAATTATAATTGCAGTTTGTTTTGACAATATTGTCGTCTCTATAATCAGCTGACCTTCCCTTAGCGTTTAACCACTGTGCCCTCTCAAGTTTTCCCGCCTTTCCCTCCCAGCATTTGTTAAACTCTCAACAACATACAAACAACCTTGAAAAACCAGCTTCTATTTTGTTGATTTTGTCGCAGACTTGGCTACTTCTACTAGAGATTCGTTGCAGGGCCTCTGGATTGCGACAGACTTAAATAGAGAGATATGGACGGAGAGTTAGACAGCTACATCTTCCCTGCGAAATCCCCTCCTCGAAACCTGTGGCCCACTTGCCACTTGGTTATCTGTGGAGTGGCTTTCGCTTTGTTTTGCCCATTTGCGATGAGTGCCATTCGGGGCGTTTGGCTATTGGCAGGTTGGGCGTTTGGCTTATCTGAGTGTCGCTTTTATCAAAATCTCACGTAGTTTAGAGATAGAGAAGCGCCTCTAGGGCAACACTTTCCATGCAAATTCACTGATTGCCTTCACTCACGTAGCATTTAATTTACCAACCCAAATGATTCGTTTGGCCCTTGCCAGCACAAAAAGCCACTTAAAAAAAATACAAACTAAAAAGTGGCAAAGTAAAAAATCGATTTTAAATGCAGTGGCGTGCTTTACTTTTACTCTCATTGTTGCAGATTTATCCGGCAGGTAAAAACTTTCTTTTTCAACTTTTCCCTCTTCCTTCACAAAAAGCCTCTTGTGGGTCACAATTTGTTCCAACGCTTCTTGCACTGTTAAATCTTTTTTGGTGTCTCAATATATTTACTTTTTTTTCGTATTTCATTGTCATCAATTCTGGCCCCAAAAGGTCAGCGCCTTAAGCGCACACTCCAACTCGAACCTCCATTCTGGCCAACACTTCTTTTGGCAACTCGTTTCTTGTTTGCGGTTAGGCTGTTGCCATTGTTCGATTTGTTGTTGCCAACCGCTGGCGTTTTCTTAACAATTTTTATGTCATTTGCGCAATTATATGGCAAAACAGCAACCTCAGCAACCGGCCGAAATGGCCGAAAGTAAGTGGTTAGGTGAGGTAAGACTCGTTACCCAAAAATAAGTGGGAGGTTCGCTAGATAATTGTCAGAAATGTGTAATTTACTGGTTTTTTGGTATCATAAAACTATAATTTAGTGCTTGCGCGTATTTTTCAAGCAAAACCATATCAAGCTAAATATAAAACTATGTAGAACTAACACCATTCTGTTTATTCAAATGTGGTTAAAAAATTAAACAGCAACTTTCTATCAAATAAATAGAAGAATTTGATTTTAATTGACATCATTTGTATCTAGTTAGCTAAATTTAATGCAGGGGCGGACGCAGAAAAAAATTTTGGGGGGTCCGATAAAAAAATTTTTTTGTTTGGGGGGGTCCGATCATAAAATTTTTTATTTTATATGGTTATATGGCCGTGTGCTGTAAGGGAATTAGAAAAAGTCTTAGATTTTGGGGGGGGGTCCGGACCCCCGGACACCCCCTGCGTCCGCCCCTGATTTAATGGTTTTTGGGGGGATAATTATTTCAAAAAAGTAGTTATGTACTTTGAACCAAAAACAAATATAATTAGGCATTATTAATATACCTTTCTTGATCTTACGTGTTTCCTTTTTTGTAATTCTCAAGCCTGTGGTAAACATTGTTGGGACACTAACGCGCCCCCAAAAACAGAGAGACGTCTGGTTTGTTTTCTTTATCACGCCCTTTGTTTACCCAAGTTGAACAACCAACCATTATCATTATCACGAGCAAAAGGCAAGACAGGAGGATCATTAATATGCGGCATTGTTGAAGTTTTAAATGGGCTTGGCTTAGAGCGTGGGAGCCGGATCAACTTGGCCAGAATCAAGTATCGAATGAATGGCATTGCATTGAATTGCAATTGGCGAGTAGTATGTTACCTTTCTAAGTTGGATGCGAACTAATGTGGTAACTCGACCGATCGGTCAGCAGGCTGATCATCAGCCTCATAATGATTGACTTAATTGAGGCTCAACTCAATTTACAGAATTTACAGAACGCGAGCTTCAAGCTTCTCTTGATTGAGTCAGGTCAAAAGAATTTAAATGGGACGAGCTTCTCCGCTATGCTTCTCCATTTCTCTGATTCTCCACTTCTCTACTTCTCTTGTTCTCCAGTCGCAACGGAAGCCTCTGAGCATGCATACATTAGTAGTCTTTCTCCTGGTCTGAGACTTTGAATTGAACGACATTTGCATAAATTGCGTCGCCTCATAGAACGTGCTTAGATAGCTCGACAAAGGGGTATAGACTCCAGGAAATCTACTGTAAAACCAAGCAGGCGGACAGAAACCCCGCTACAATTAAGAAATAATGGATGAATGAGGCAAACTGTCAATATATCAAGTAGTTGAAAAAGAGGGGCACACAGAATGCCAAGGAAATCATTTTTTGTCTCCACTGAAACTAAAAAAAGATATCATTGTAATGCTTATACTATAGTAGTTTGTTAAATATTATATCATATCTACATATATGTTATGTATGTGTTGCTCTGAATCTGCTGGGAAATTTGCTTTTGTGTTGTATCTTAATTTTGCTGCATTTGCTTTTCTATGAATTGCATTATGAGACAAATGTATTTTTCCTATATGAATATAACTTTTCCCCTCTTTATTAGATAGAAATCGATAAAATCGGATTTGCCTTGAATTGAGTGGGTTATTACTATATAATTGTGGCAGAAAGAGGACACGTGCAGCGTGGCGGACTCGATGAATCACTTTTGACCTGGCCACGTGCCCGGGATTCCCTTCGATTATCAGCCCTAAGTGAGGGGTTGCATCCCTTCGCAGGTTACGTGTATTTCTATTGCATTGCGGAGATTAAGCCTAAATTAAAGCTAGTTTAATTGCACCACAAAAAAAGGGGAGGGTGCAGGGAATAAGTTTTGTATTTACCACTCTCGAGACAAAAACTGAAACAAAGTGTTTTGGAGGGCAAGTCATGTTATTTATGACTCTATTTCCCTAAGCTAACCAGGGTGAGTTTGCCAGACAACCCCGAAAGGAAATGTGTGGCTATTGCATTAGTCATCCAGTGGGAGAGTTGGCCAGAAGAATCACATTCGCTTTGGCACCCCGAACAGTGAGGCAAAGAAAGAGTGCCCCAAGAAAGCACTTGAACAACTTTGTTTATGCCAACAGCCAAAGGAAATCACGTTTGTTTGCAGCAGCAGCAGCAATTTCCTCTAAACAGGCAGCCAAACAAATAACAAAGAAATGCCAGCCGTGGGAGATGAAATGCAGTCAAGATACACGAAAAAAATGTATGCTCTTTTTTACTGGAAAATTGAAGGAAAATAAAAAATGTATTTTATATTAATTATTAAAGGTAGTAAAATATAACATCAGAAAAAAATGATTTATGACAATTTGTTAATGAACTTCTATATTTAAATCAAACAAGTGGGCAAACGTGTGCTCCTCTAGCACAGTTTGCAGCATCCTAAATTCCACGTGCAGTTTTAAAAGAAAAATGGTAAATTCATCTCGAAATTATCAATATTTTTCCCTGTGGACTCCGTCAGGCATCAATTGTGGCTGCTGCTGCTGTTGTTGCTATCGCTTGTGCAATGCCAATGCAACGCTTGATTGGGAATCGGAGGGGGCATAATGGAAAGGGGGGAAAGCGGGATGTGGAGCGGGATGGCTGGCCAAGGCTGAGGCGAAGAAGAGATGGCACAAGGTAAGCCCTCTCGATGATTAATCAAAATAAAAGAACTGAAGCGAGGTGAGGCAAACCGAGCTGAGAGCCAAGAGCGGTTCAGAGAACAGTGAAAGGCCAAATGCAATCAAGTGAATAAATAATCATAAAAACGGAGGACAAACCGAGCTTGGGGATCTTAATGGGAAATAGCACTCTGCAGCTCACACCCTCGCTCAGCTTCGGTTTTGGTTAATTTATGCATAGAGCTATTGGGATTTTTGTTGTGCACTGACTAGCATCCGTAATGGGATGCGGCAACAACGGCGGCACAAAATATTCGCAACGGAAATGCGACAACACGCTAGAGTGAGTCCGGGAGCAAGCTGGGAACATGCACTTAAAAAAAAATTAGAAAAGAAAAGCAAAAATTGATATGCTTATCAACCAAGATACGTGCCTTTAACTAAACAAACTTGAGAATACAATAAATAGATGTGTAGAACTTTTGTTCTTGTAAAAACCAATTATTTTTCTGAAACCATTTTTTTACCTTTAACATAAATTTCTCCGAGTGCACCAACCTCTTCCTGGTTATGGTCAGCGAGCTGGCTCGGGACTCAGATTTGGGTTCGTTTCGTGCCTGGACAGTTGCTAATTTACCTTGATTGTGAGTCATTTGCGAACTTTTCGACTGTCGCAGTTGCAGTTGCATTTGCAAATTGCACTTTTCGCAATCCA